GATGGGGGCTTCTTGGGCCAAGCTCTCTCCACCTCTCGCTCCTGGCCTACACCCTCTCCAGCCTGCAGTTCTGCCCTGTCTCAAAGCCTTCATGCCTTTGCTCAAGCTGTGCCTTCTACCACCATTCCTCCTACCATAGTCCACCTGGCAAAGCCTTTCTCATCCTTCATGGCTCTGTTTAAGTACCATTCTGCCTGCTTTGGTTTCATTTTTAGCTAGCCTTGTTGTGCACTTACTAAGTAACAGGTACTTTCTAAGAAGTCTACAGTCACTAATTTAATTCTCACAGCAGTTCTATAAGGTAGGTATTATTTCATACCACTTGACGTGAAAAAGTGAGCAGAGAAAGGAAAAACAGTCTGTCCAAGGCAATACAGCAGGAATGGTGGAACTGGAATTCCTGACCAAGCCTGAGTGACCCCAGGGCCACACTACCTGGGTTTAAATCCCAACTCTACCACTTAACTATTGGTTGCCAAGACTGTGAGCTCTGGGCAAGTCACTTAATTTCTGAGGATCTCAGTTTTCTCATTTATAAATTAGCAGTGATAGTGCCTCCCTCATAGTGCTGTTGTGGAAGTTATGAATTAATGAATGTGTTTAGAGCAGCTCCAGACACACATGGTAAATGCTCAGTAAATATTAGCTATTGTAATTTGTTACTTATTGACTGCTGGGGAAGAATTATTCAATTCATGGTCCTATTGATGGAGATGAACTTTCTCCCTCTATGGAAGGGTTCGTGTGTTGTGCAGATGGGCCTACGGCTTTCAAGATGGGGGATCCTCCTGCTGTCCTGACCTTCTGGGCTGGAGTCCCTGTCCCAGAGAGTCAGCTTTAGTACCAGGGTAAGAGCTTGAGATTAGAGACCAGTGGCCCTGGATTCTAGTCCTGCCTCTGCCCCTATTTGTTAGGTGATCTTGGGCCCTTTGCCCTTTGTGAGCACCAGAGTGTGTGCCTGGCTCTGCTGGGCAGGGGCAGATGTAGCAGACACTGGGATTTCAGAGCCCATTCCAGACAGGGGACCTGGAACTATGGAAGCCAATTCCCCAGCTCTGGGGCTGATACTTGGGCTGGGCCTTAGAAGGAGAGAGCTGGTCGCAGCCAGCTGGAGTGTCTCAGGCCTCTTCTCTCAATCCAGTTAGCTGGCCATGGGCCCAGCACAGTCCTGGTTCAACCAGACCCTGAGGACTCCTGTTTGCGCCCTGTCTGAGGAGTCCTGGGCACAGGGACCATCCAGTCTTTCTCCCTCCACATGTCTATCTGCCTGAGCTCTGGCTCCTCCTCCCTCCTGGCTGGCTGCTCCTTCCCAGACCCAGCTCCATGACCATCAAGGCCTTGGTCCCATGCCAACTTCTTGAGCTGCTTCAGGTCTGGAGGGGGCCGAGGAGCAAGTCCCCCCAAGGCTGGCCCTCTTGTTACTATGGTAGCAGTTGCCTTGGAAGCTGCTTCCCTGACTTCAGTTTCCAAACGGTTCAGGAAAGCTGCTTGTCCCCCCGGGGATCAGTGAATTAATCACGCTCTTTTCCAGAGTTCTCACCCCTCGAGGAAAATAAACAGAACTAAACCAAGCTGGGGCCTTTTCTCCTACTCTTCCCCCCACCCCCATGCCATGCTTTGGACTTGGTGCGTCTGAGAAGGAGAGAGTGTGAGCGGGCACTCTGCACCCTTGCTTCGCCAGGAGACAAAGAGGAACGATCTCATGGTGGAACTCGGAAGTATACCCTTGACCCGGCCACACCCTGAGTCCTGTGGCCTCCAGGAGCTCCAGGTTTCCGCAAAGGGGAATTGATACTTGTGAGGGGTGGGGAGTAGATGAGAGTACTCGTGCTCTAGTGCCTTGGGCTCTGCCTCAAGGTCCCCACAGAAAGAGGGTCCTTGAACTTATCTACCTATTACAGTAAGCACATCACTCAAGGACAAACGTATTTTCTTTTTCAAAGCTGATAGCATCCAAATCCATGTTGAGGAAAGCATTGGTAAATTTCCTCTCCACATTTATAATCCGCAGAGGAGCAGCCATCCCAAAAGAGTTTCAGTAGCCCTTAATGATGCTCCTACTGTCATGGGCTTGACTGATTCTTTTGAATACAATGTGTCCCTCTGATGGTGGGGTTGCCAAATCCTCCCACTCAAGGTAGAAGTGCAGGGGCAAAGATGTCCTGGAGTAGGTCCCAGCTGAGCAAGGAATCTGGGGCAATCTCTTTTACCTCCCCATGTCTCAGTTTCCCCATCTGTTCAATAAAGGAGCTGGGATGGCTCTGTGGTTCTGTGATCCTGTAACTCATAATGGCTTGTGTGTCTTTCCTCCCCTGACTCTCTGCCCTGAGGGATTTATAACATCAAAGAAAAACTCTTCATTTAGAATTTGTCTCTAGTTTTTGTGTTCTTCCAGAATCTGCACCGACATTTCCAGATTCAGCCTCTGCCACCCCCATCGCCATTCACCAGATGAGGAAAGTGATATAGGGAGGTGGAGTTGGCTTGCCCAAGTCCCACAGTGTGTATGTAGGTGGTGGAACAGGGATTGGAATTGCTTGAGACATGGTTCAGAGGAACCCCCCGTCTTGCTTGCTGTCCTCAACCCTAGATAATGAAAGGAGCCCACGTGAGCTCTGCCCCACCCAGAGTTACACAAACACCTAATGGGGGTGGGGAGCGTTGTGGAGGGTGTTCAGATTCCCAAAACCAAACAGCTCGGGAACATGTTTTCATGGACAATTATTTTGGCTGCTACTTCTGAAACTAGTCAGCAGGGGATCAATTATGTGTGACAGAGACATGGGCTGTCATTTGATGCCTAATTAGAGGAATAATCAGACTTCATTCTGGCAGGAGGCTTGGGGATGTTGGCAGCAGGAGGTAGTGGCTAGGGAATGCCCCACTCCAGGAGTGTCCTTATGGAAGAAGCCAGGAACACAGCCTAAGGGCCCATCTGTGCTTTGCAGTCACCTTTCCTCCCTAGATACTGTCTAAGTTCACTCCTGTCCTCACCAGGGCCTCTTCAGCTTCCTGACAGTGCCATTCCTCAGCTCAGCTCAGATGACCCTGGCCACCTTGGGCCCCTACTGCACCACACTCTGTTAGGGATAAAGGCTCCTCGGTGCCCACAGCTTTCCTCTTTGATGAAACAAGGTGGCTGTGCAGGTCCAAGCCCTCCCCCTGAGCTCTGTCCTTGGGTCCAAAAGCCCAAGTATGGTCCCGTCTGGTCCTCTCCACCTGTGGCACCCTGTGGAACTCAGAGACCCCCTCAAACACACCTTGAACCTTCCCTTGAGGGGCTCACAGTCTGGAGGAGAAGTAGAGAAAACAAGGACAGAATGTGGGCACTTAAGAGCGGGGACCTGGGAGCAGCCCTGCCATTTGGAGTAACCAGGGGGGCCTTACAAGCTGGGGCTGGCCAAGCAAGGTCCTGGGGATGAGTAGGTATTCTCCAGGCTGTAGGGACCAGGCAGCCACTCAAGCAGAGAGAACATCAGAGGAAACGGGAGGCACAAGAGGCAGGAGGAGCAGCTTGGAGGCAGAATATTTTGAGGCTGGCTATGTCAGACTGCAGACATGTTGGGGGACAAGGAGGAGCCAGGGAGAGGCCAATGGGGTCGGTGAGAGGACTCTCGGTAGGGGTCCCTGAGAACTGTGCCCAGGTCCAGGGGTAGGACCAAGGCCATATTCTAGGACTGAGGAGATACTATTCCATAAAGAGCTAGAGAATACAACTAATGATCAATGCTGGAACTAGGGGCAGGACAGGGCTGGGTTGAGTTACCAATTCTGGATCCTGCAAGTAGGTCAGACAGGCTGGGTTAGAGGTGCTCAATCCAGGAGGCCAAGAGTCTCCTGCCGCCAGCCAGCTGACACCCACCCTGCCATTCCCCTTTCCAACCCTACCAGTACATGTTTTCCTCTTGCCCCCCGCCCACCACCACCACCACCACACTTTCCTGTCAGCCCCTAGCCAGGCATCCTGGGGTGGGGCCACGAGGGAGCTCAACCCACTGGCAGCTAAAAGGGGATCGATCAGGTACCAAGCCCACATGAGGAGGAATGTGTCCCCTGATATCAAGTCTGAAATTAGGACTCTCAGCCCTACCTGAGACCCTAAAGGTTGATGGGATGGTAGAATGGAGGAGAGGGGCAAGGAGAGGTAGGGGCAGGCGTACAGGGTGGACTGTTCCTCTTTCTGTCCCAGTCTCTGTCCCTGTTTCTTGAGCATTGTCTATGTCTCCTGCCATGTCTCAGTCTCCAGGTCTCTAATCATAGGCCTCAGGTGTGCACTCAGGCCAGGGGTCAGAACATAGCAAAATGGGTCCTGAGCATGTGACCAGGGAGTCTGCTCACATCTCTGGCCTGTGGACTCCATGTGAAGCCACTACTAATCCTGCCTCCTCAGAAACCTGCCCCCTTAGTGGAACCTGGGCTGGCTACCCCAGCAGGCCTCTGGGACCAAGGTAGCAGCTCATATTGCAACCTCATGAATAACTCAGCACCTCCCTGCTGCCTATATCTCTGAGGAAACTGTTCCTGGACCAACACCTCTGCATACACTCCACCCCTCCAACCTTATCACTTTAAACTTTAATTGGCCAGTTGAGCAGGCTCTCTAGGGAGCAGAGGAGGAAGCAGCTTGGTCTGCGCTCTCCTGAGAGGAAGCTGACAGGGGAGGACTGGGGTGGAGGAGACAGGCCCAGCTCCCCAGGAGAGATGTGGCCAGACGGGAGCCCCATGGGTGACCTCCATCTTCAGAGGGTTTGGGAGGAGGAAGAGTAAGCCGGGGATGACCTGATAAAGACCCAGGTCAAGGGGGGCTGTGAATTCCCTAGGAGAGCTGTGGGATTGGGCTGCAGATAAATCCAAGGGTTACCAGCACAGGATCTTACTGCCCAGAAACTCCCACCCTGAAGGTGAAACTCCAACAAAGGGACATACGGGAGGACAAGACCTATAGGACTTGTCTGGGGACATAACCCACTGGCTGGAAGCAGTGCCTTGGGCAGACCTGCATGGACATCCACATCAGCAGCAGAGACTTCCGCTGCCTGCAACTGGCCTGTGTGGCCATTGGCCTGGTGGCTGGCAGCATCATCATCGGTGTCTCTGTGTCCAAAGCTGCAGCTGCCATGGGTGGTGTCTTCATTGGTGCTGCTGGTCTGGGTAAGTGGGAGGAGGAGGTGCTAGAGAGACAGGGTTCTGTTAGGTGAACAAGAAATGGAGGAAGGGCTGGGTTACCAGGCATTGAGTTGAGGGGAATGGGAGCTAGAGGTATGAGCAAGGCAGCCATGGGGCATGAGGAGAGGCAGAAAGGTTAGGGGTGAAGTTCCTTGTCAGGGGTTGCTGAGGGTTAAGGGGCTGTGGAGAAAGGAATTGGATGTCACACTCCTCTGAAGATCCTGTCACTCTGGCCCCCAGCACCAAAGCCCTGGGCTCTTGGATTTGTGGTGGGACTCACAAGCCTGTTTGGGATGGCGGTGATGGATGTCAGGTAAAAGAGGACAGAGTCCTCAGTGGGATCTTCTGGGTCAAGATGGACTCCAACTCAGATAAAGAGTTTTCCTTCCCTGTTTGTCTCAGCAGCAGATTTGTCTGACCAGCCATCTGTCTGTCCGTCGGTCTGAACCAGTCCTACTGATATCCCCACAGGGATGCTGAGTTCCTTCCCTCACTCCACCTCACCACTCTAGGCCAAAAGTAAAACGAGAGGCTCTGGGCTGGATGGGCTCTGGGCATACATCTTTGCAAGTTCCAGCCAAAGGTCACAGGCACTTGGGTCTGGGGTTGACGTGGAAGTCAGCAGGGTAGGACCAGCCCTACTGCCACCCTCTCCCCAGATCTAGGTGGGGAAGAGCATTCTGAGCAGCCCCCAGCCTAACTGCAGTCCTGCCCTGGGGGGCCAGAGGAGGGTGGGGTAGGGGAGAGTTGGTGGTGCTGGTGTCAGCTGGGCCCATTGCCAGCCCACTGAGAGAGAAAGGAAGCCATTCTGTTCTTCACCTGGGCAGGGTAGACCAGGAGTCTGGGGCCCCCTTCCCAGATAGGCACTGTACCTTCATCCTTTCCAGGGACTAGGTGTTGGGAGCAGAGACAGAAGCCCTGGGCAGCTCCACTGAGGCACAGGGGGGCACGGGGAGCTGCACCACACACACTGGCAGGCCCACATTTATACACCCACAGACCTAACCTTGCATCCTTGTGCTCATCCCATGCACACCCAAACCACCCCCAGGCTCAAATTCCACCCACAGCCTTCCGCACCTCACACTGAGCATTCCCCTACCCCCCATCACAAAATCCCTTTGTGTCCCTCTTCTCAGGGCTGCTCCTCTTCGCCTACCCCTTCCTGAAGGCGCGATTCAACCTGGACCACATCCTGCCTATGATAGGTGAGTCTTCTCATCGCCTCCAGCAGACCCTCTGCCAAGGACTGGGCGAGACCCTTTATGTGTATGTCTGTGACCCACTGTGCAGCTGAGCCAGGCCCACGTGTGTGATTTATCCTGGCTGTGTGTGCTGGAGTTTCTGTGTGTGTGTGTGTTTTGCAGACGTTGCCATGACTACAATGCAGCAGACTCTAGCCTGCTGCCTGCTACAAAGGTGGCTGAAGTAGCTCAAAGCATCTAGCGCTCCCATCTCCCTTAAGAGATTCTCCATCTCCCCTAAAGCCTCCAGGTTCTCCAGATAACCCCTCTTCATCCCTGAGCCCCCATATAGACCCTCGGTGTCCCCTAAGACCACCGGACCCTGTATAACTCCCCACTTTATCTCAACTCCCCAGATGGACTCCCACCTCCATCAATCTGTGGGGTTGTACATATCCCCCAACTTCTCCCCAGAACCCCTATCTCCTTTAAAAAAAAAAAAAACTGTTTTCTCCTTCGTGACTCCATTTCTTCCCTCTGCCCCAAAAATAATCAACCCAGACCATGTGGGGGAATCAGAAGAGCAGAGACTTCTCTTCTTTAGGGATGAATATTAGACAGCAGGAAGGACTTCTCTTGGGCTTGATTTGAGGATGACTTGGTAACCATGGGGTTTGGGGTGGTCTCATCCTGCAGGGAGTCTGAGAATCCGCCCTCAATCAGGGCCAGACCATGGGGAGGGAGGCTCCACCGCCAATGGCAATAAGGAGGGTAAGTCCCAGAAATTCCAGAATCTGTCTCTCATGTTCCCTCTCTGGTTGAGCAGCACCGTGGTTCCAGGGAAAACCTTGAGGGGGATGCAGAAAGGACTTCCCCAATCTCAAGAGTCCACATAGTTAGGTATTCTTCCATGTGTTTAACCAAAACCCTTCTTGCTCCAAGCAGAACTGATTTCCTCTTATTGACCCACAGAGTTCCCTGTCATGCCTGTTATGGACTCTGGGGCAGAGGGCATCTCCCAGCCTCTTCCCCTCCACTATGTCCTGTGGCCTGGTTTATTTTCCCGCTGTCTGCTTCCATTGTAGAATTTAATTCTCAGAGCTGGTACCTGAAATTGGATATCTTCTTGATCGTCCATCCCCACATACTGGAAAATTCCAGGGCAGGACTTTCTCAAAGGTGACCTCAGGCCACAGTCTCGGCAGCCAGTGGCAGGATGCCTAACACTCAGCAAGGGGTCCCGTTGCAGACACCATTTAAGGCACTTTACAGATATTAACTCATTTAAATCTCATAACAGCTACATGATGAGATACTAGAAGTAGCCCCATTTTATAGATGGTACAACTAGGGCATAGGGAGATTAAGGAACATGCCCACAATCATACAGCCAGGAAGTGGTGGAGCCAGAACTGAAACCCAGGCAGTCGGCTTTGAGGTCCTCTCTCTAAGCCCCACACTACACTGCTTCCCCCCTTAAAGGGCCATTTTCACCATCTGAGTCTCTTTATACCGGGATGGCACTCTCTCCCCATTCTATCCCAGCTCTGCCCTGGGGTTACCAGGTATCCCCAATTCCTGTGACCCCAGTAACTCACTAGGGATCTGTCTACTCAGTCAGCTGTATGCCTGGTCTCTCCCCCAGGAACCCGCAGCAGCCTGTCCACCGTGAGCAAGACCCTGGAGAAGCTGAAGCCAGGGGGCCGGGGCACAGAGGAGGGCTAAGGGGCTGGGCCCTCATCCCCTGCCCTTCCTTCTCACCACGCCTGCCATCCCACCTCAGAGCCCTCCAGTTAGAAGATGCAAACCAGAGGTGAACCCGGCCCTGGAGAAGCCAGGCACAACCAAGACTCTTCTGAGTGTATCCCACTGGGCAGGGCCTCACATGGCGATCCCAGGAGGACCCAGAGAGCTCCCTTGTTTCAGGCTCTTCACCTGGTTTTTCTCTTTGGACTGCAGCCCTAGCTTCCTTCCCTTTTTGATCTACTGAATGGTTTCTCTGGAATTTGGGGCTCTGAGCTCTTACTGACAACCACGGATGCCCTAGTCCCTTGCTTCATCCTGGCCACAGACCCACAAAGACCACAGATGGGGGCCCAGCTGAGTCCTTCAGCCCCCTGGTCCTAAGTCTCTAGAACTCACCAGATAGAGGGCTGCACCAGATTCCTTTCAGAATATCAAAACCTCCTGGACAATTCCCTGGGGATAGACCTTGGGCAGCAATGAACATGATGGACACATGTCCTTGAGGGGTTTCTGGTCCCCAGAGGAGAGAGACTCATAGAGGGACAGATATAAGCACAATGACTACTGCTATGACAGGGAACAGACAGCATAGGAGCCCAGGTGAAGCACTTGTCTGGCCTAGGATCAAGGGAGACTTCCAGGAGGAGGTGACTCTTGAACTGGGCCCTGCCCTGAGACTCTTGGTATTTAACTCTGCTATTCAAGGCTGTTTGTTATTGGGCTCCAATAAGACCTCTAGCCTTTCCTTTCTTCTCTATGCTCTCCTTGCTCCTTGAATAATCAAACATGTTCCTGCCTCCAGGCCTTTGCTGTGTTCTGCCAGAGGGCCCACCTGCCTCCTGTCTACCAAACTTCCCATTTTTAAAGGCCCAATTCCAAGAATCCCCTTAACCACAATACTCTTTTCATCTGCTTTGGCAGCCTGTGTCTCCTGCTTTCTTGACACCCTCCAGGCATAGAGATATTGAGTCTACTTTCTCACAAAACAGTTATCAAGCATCTACTGTATGTTAGCTTTTTTTCTATCCCTAGCACAGGGCAGGGCACATGAGAGGTGTTCAATAAATGTTAGTGGCATAAAATTAATGGCTTTCCCTGGAGAGAGCCATTCCAAGGTCTCATCAGAATTTGGGGCAAATGAGGCCTTGGCCCAGGTGTGAGTGTGCAGTAAACATCACTCCTCTCCCCAGCATACTCCTCATATGCCTGCACCCTCAAGGTAGAGCAGAGCTGCTTGACCTCTATAGAGAGACCTGCTCTGTGTGGCCTCTGCCTAGGTTTGGTAAGCAGGAGGCAAGCTAGGAATGGTCACATTCTTGAAGGATTGGTGTAGATGGCACCTCCTCTTGGATACCTCTCCTGACTTTGCTGTTCCCACAGCCCCAGGCCTTCCGTCCATCACAGCACAAATCACTCTGAGAGGCTGTCATCTATTTCCTCTTCTCCAAAGTGGGGACACAGGGCCAGGCACCCAGAAGATGTTGGTAAACCAAACCAAAAGTGGAAGGGACCATCTCATTGTTCACATGGGAAGGCTGAGTCCTTGTGGGTAAAAGGACTCATCTGAGTCCCACAGTGAAAGGTCATGTTTGGGGAAACGCTCCAGAACTCTCTGATATTTCAGCATGGGAGGGTACTGTGACCAGGGACAGTTCCTTAGACCTAGCTCTCCCAGTGGCCTGTTCATTGAATGAAATTAGTCAACAGCCCTACTGTGACACCTAAACTGTGGCTGTGCCTGGCCCTGGGCTGGGTGCTGAGAACACAATTGTTACTGTATGCCGTCGAGTGGGCCCCGACTCATAGTGACCCCTCCTTGGTTTTTTTCCAGCAGTATCACTATGGAAGTAGATTGCCCAACCTTCCTTCCGAGGAGTGGCTAGTGGGTTTGAACCACCAGCCTTCCGGTTAGCAGTCAAGTGCCTTAGGCACTATGCTATGGGAGCTCCAAAAGTGGACAGAGCTTGTTTCAGGCAGCCCACTTAAAGTCACATCCCTGCTGGGCTAGTCTGGAGGAGGACTGAAGACTCACCTCCCAGTTCTGCCCCAGAGGGGCTGGAGCAAGATGTTGTGTGGCTTCAGTTTCCTCATAGGCAAATCAGGGATGATTGTGGTACCTCCCTCATGTGGTCACTGTCAGGATAAAGGGCCTAGCACTTAATTCAGATCAGAGGGTTTATGAATGAATGAGTGAGTGAAGGGGAGATTGGAGGAGATGTCGTCCAACTGAACTCCAGGATCTGGAGAGTTGCCACTGCAGACTCCCACCCCTGCTCTCTTTCTAACAGTCCAACCTTCTGTCCCATCCTTCACCCTCAACAGGCTTTTAAAATTCCACCAGGAGATAGAGCCCCTCGCTATAAGTGAGTTACAACGACTCCATCCGGACTGGTCAAGACTATGCTGGGAGACTGTGTGGGCGGGCGAGGAGTTGTTTGCAAGGATGCTTGAAAGCCGGGAAACCTAGAAGAGTGAAGAGAAGGGCGCTGCTGAGCTGGAGTGGGGAGGATACTTAGTGACAACGCTACTTTTCCCTGCTAAAGGGGAGCGAAGGTCTGCCACCAACACCCGGAGAGAGGCAGGGGCAGCAGAGGGGGGTGGCTCCGAACCGGCGTTCCTAAGGCTCAGGCAGTCTCCCCTCCTACAGCAGCCGCGAGGGGCGGGGGCTGGAGTAGGGGCCGCTTGGAAGGAGTGGACGCAGGTTTACTCGACTCTTCCCCGCACGGATCACCATCGCCGGCGCCGCCCCCTCCCTGCCCTCCCACCCAGCCCTTGGCGCGAAGGAGCGAGCACAGCGCAGCTGCCCCAACCCCTCGGGCTGATCCGGGATCTCCAAGCTGCTCAGCTCACCGACCCCGCCCAGAAGCCCTGCCGTACCGACCCGCGCTGCCCACCTCCAGTTCCCCGCGGCGTCCTCGAAGTTGGCAGACTACGGAGGAGGTCTGGCTCAGGGGGAACCTCTGGCTGCTCTGCCCTTACGAAATTGTTCCCTCTGGCTGGCCCAGGGTGCTCAGAGGTCAGCCGGGTCACGACTGGCAGGGAAGTGTCCACTGGTGCGGCTCAGGCAAGTGGAAGCTGGGGGGGGGGGTGCGCGGAAAAGGTTAAAGGGCATGGAAGGGAAAGAGAGGGAGAAGGTAAGGGAGAAAGGGATACCTTAAGGAATGGAGAAGAGAGTGCTTAGCCCAGCTCTGAACTCAGTGGGCAAGAGGGTGGTACCAAGACAAGGAGTCAAGGACCTGTATGTAGCCTTATGACAAGAGTTCTCTAACCAAAGAGAAAGACAGAGAGGAAACACGGGAAAGGGAGACACAGTCTGGAGTGGCTGCCTTGAGTGCTCTCTTTTCTACTCTAATCCCTGCCCCACTTTGACTCTGTAAGAATCTGCCTTAGAGTCTACTTGGGCACCTGCCACACCTTCCCCAACGTCCAAAGTGAGAAAGGAATTAGCAGTAGGCTCAGAGCAAGCACAAGACAAAGGTAAAGCCAGGAAGGGATAAGGCAGACTTGACCCTTCTTATTAATTCCCACCCCCAGCCACAATCACCATTTAACCATTTATTTAGTGTCCCAGTGAGCACCTGGGGAGAGGCAAGCACTCTATTGGAGATACAGCCATAAATAAGGTGGACATAATCCTGGTCCTCAAGGAAGACCTTCAAGGGATGCAGACCTGGGTACAGGGAGTTACAGTGCTATTAGGGAGTCAGGAGGTTGGGAGCCCTGATTTGGGAAATTAAGAAAGGCTTCCTGAAGGAAATTTTGTCTCAGCTGAGATTTGAAAGTTGAGCTAGAGTAAGCCAGGTGAAGATAAAGTAGATGCATGATTCAAGCACCGACGAACTAGTGCTGTTAAGCCAGTTCTGACTCAGGGTGACCCCATGTGTATCAGAGTAGAACTTTGTGCCATAGGGTTTTCAATGGCTGTTTTTTTAGAAGCAGATCAGCAAGTCTTTCTTCTGAGACACCTCTGGGTGATGCCTCTGGGTGAACTTGAACCTCCAGCCTTTCACTTAGCAGCCAAGTGCATTAACTGCACCACCCAGGGTTCAGGCACAGGGACCAGAGTGTTCACTGGACCATACTTGCTGAGTTCAACCCAACTAGAGCAAAACACAAGAGGGCTAGTACCTAGAGGAAGCCAGGGTGGGACATCGGCAGTGGGGAGTCAAGAAGGATTTTTAACCAGTAGGGAGAGATGACCTGGAGTGGAGTGGGGGTGGCCAGAGTACTAGAGAGGAAGGGATGGATTCTAGAGATAATTAGAAGAATTTGCGGGATTTGGTGATGGATTGGAAGTGTGGAGGGAGGCCTGAGGGTGAGGGAGGAGCCAAGGATGAATCCCAGGTTTCTGGAATGGGAATCTGCATTTTGTGGGAGAAGATGAAGTTTAAGGTGCCCATTTCCAAGAGGAAGAGAATGTTTCCAGGAGGGAGGGTTTCCCAGGACAAAACCTGTGGCGAGGTCCAGTGAGCTAAGGACTGAACAGTGTTCAGTGAACTCCGTTTCAGGAGGCATCGCTGGTGAGATGGGACAGACACCAGATTGGAATGGGCTGGCTCTTGAGAAGGAAATGAAGTGGACAGTGTAGACAGCTCCTTCAAGAAGGGGACAAAGTATTAGCTGAGGCTAATAGCTGAGTTGTGGGGTTGAAGGAAGGTTTTATTTTAAGACGGGAGCGGCGTGAGTGTGTACAAGAGGAGGTGCTGTCACTATAAGGGGTAGTGAGTGCTGACTAGGAAGAGATAGTTCTCTGGGAAGCCTTTAGGGTCCCAAGTGATGCTAGAGACATGGAAGCACAGAACCCAACTACCCAGCTCATTTTATCTCATGAGCTTACCAATTTGGGAATAGACTTGGAGGAGGCAGAAAGTTGAATGTGTGCAAGGTTGAGGCTTTGCTGGGCAACTCTGGGAGAACGGCAAAGGAACAAGTTAAGGGTATTCCAAGAGAGCACCTGAAATTAGACAGTGTGGGCTCTG